TAATTACAAGTAACGTTACAGTGTGCTGAATAACAACGGTCGTGGCGTTTATTGCGGACCCCAGAAGACAATGACTCGCTAAAAAACGCCATTTGTGCAAATTGTATTTTTTTTCGCTCAAACTAAATTTGTATAGCTTCAAACCTTTTTAACGACAAAGACAACAAGATAACAATAAATGCGCAAAAGGTTCAAGCAATAATTTAAACAAAACATAATGAGTACGAATAAAAAAGTTGCCTTTTTGCTCAGTTACTAGAATTCACCAGGCTGATGGCAGTTCCAACATAATGTTACTGCAATAAATGGCATGGTTACCCTAGGACAATTTCTAAATTTTTTTAGAAATATAAAGGTGTGTACACAATTTTTATGCGATTGTAAAACAATTATCTATTATACAACTCCTTGTTTTAATAGGCATTGAACAATTTAAATTTTAAGGAAAAGTTATGATAATATTATTCTGAATGTTTGATCAAATTATCATATTTGAATAAGGTATGTAGTTAAAGAGATAAGGGTGAGTCGCCATAAGAGGTTATTAGCCAGTGATCGTGGGCAGGTAGATAAATCGAGTGCACAGAGGTGTGAAGTGCTAGTCTAGAATGTGGCTAGGGTCAAAAGCCGCGCAGTATGTCAGCATTTAGTATTCCGTGAGCCCGGGCCCCGGCCGGCTAACGGGAATTCTCGCCCGTCTACACCGGCCTTTACTTTCATCGATCGAACGAACCACGGTTTACTTTCCTTTGTTAGTTTCGACTTCGTAAATAATTTGCTCTATTTAATGACATGTTTGTATTTTATTAACTACCTACGTTATTATTTAGGCCGAATTACTAATAAATTCTAATATTAATTGTTTTTTTTTATTCTACCTATTTTATAATCATCTTAAGAATATGGGAAATATAGTAACATACAAAGTCAGCTGCATTATATAAAAACCACAGTGACAATGAAATTAAACGGTTGTCGTGGCAAAAAAATGTGAAAAGAAAGGAACAAGTGTTTAGTTAGAGCGCAGGTAAAGGCGAGCGAGGCTCCACATCGTATTGAGATGGCGTACCGTTAGATGCATTTGAGCAGTTTTTAATCAAATGGACGGGATATGATCGATCGCTTGTAAAGCTTTTGTATTCCTTTTTGAACCTGCGCATGTCTAAAATATGTTTTGAAAAATATTAAATTGTTCTGTGGTACCAATTCCTGATATTGATTCTGAGCATTTCTTTATTTTATTAGACAAAAACTATTTAACTACATTCAATTGACTTATTGAAATTGGTGATTATTATTGACTTTTTAAGAACGCATCTCGATGCATTTTTCTCTTCCCTTAATTTAATTAGATTTAGCATTTAAAATTTAAATGTTGTTCATTATGAACTAAAAAATCATGATCTCTACATATCCTGCTTTCATGAGAGTTTTTTTTCACTAAAATACTTTCTAGAATTTTGCAACAAATTGACTAAACAAGACAGATTTTTATCAAAAGTGAAAGTAACTTGAACCTATAATTTCAAATTGTTAATTAGGCTTATTTAATTCAATCATCATTTTACAACAGTATATGTATCTTAGATCATACAATCTGTTTATATGAAAAGAAGCAGGTAGTTCCTGTATGTTCTATTGTATAATGTTACATATTCACCGTTAGAGTGCAGCGCGATGTGAGTGCGGCTGCGGGCTACCGTTAGCTGGCGGTCATAAAAAAAGATGTGGGGGTGATATTTGAGCCCAGTACGTCGGAATAAACTTTGATTGGAATGCGGTGTACTATGGTATTTAAAGTTTTTGTATATATTACTATTTGAACACTATTAAAAATAATCATACTTCATATTAATATTATAAATGTGAAAGTTTAGATGGATGGATGGATGGATGTTTGTTAGAGTTTGTAGCGTAAACGGCTCGACGGATTTCGCTGAAATTTGGCATATACGTAGAGGATAGTCTGGAAGAACACATAGGCTACTTGGTTTTGTTTTTTTTTTAATTCCACGCGGACGGATTCGTGGGCGAAAACTAGTTAAGAAATAAGTACCCACGCGCTCTCCAGTTCTTTGACTAAAATGTGAGGAACGAGAAGGCGGCCTGGAGTTGCCAATAAAAAAACGTTTTGTAATTAGAATGCAAGATAATATAAGAACAATTGGGAATCATTCAGAAATGATTAACGAATATGTAAAAGAAGTTTTTAACATTAAAATTTACAAAATATAAATAAACATACCGATCATCGTATAATTGTATTCTGCTATAAGATCATACTTCAGTATTACTTATTATTTTATGTAATAATATTCGCAAATGTTCATACAAAATATGCATGAAATAAAAAGTGATGTATAATAGATTATGGTGCGACGACCTTTAGGTAGGCCCTCAGCTACCGGAAAGCGTGCGGCATACAAACTATAAATACATTCACTGAATCAAATGTATGTGGAACACTATGACATCGATAGCTTCATGACGCTCGCCCGCGCTGCACTTCCTGCGAATTTTGTTCCATATCTCTATCATTATTCACACTCTATAAGAATAGAAATAAAAGAACCGTTCACTTTATTGTCTACTATTATGACAGTTTCGCGGAACGTACGTGATTCGTAAGGCTTATTAAATTGTTTTGCAACTTTGATATCGTTATATCAATGTAGAGTTATGACTCAAAAGTGAGTACGTATTCATATTTTAATACGTATTTAAGCTTTTCTCCGTCGACTCCCACGGTCTGATTGTTTTAATTAGTTACTCCTCTTTAACAATTACCGTCATAACAATCCATATGAAAATGTGTTCAGTAGTTATTGTATTGTATTTAATCCAATAGTAATGGCACATCATAGTGTGTAGGGAGATCATATCGAGTTAATTTTCCCCAGGGCATAGCAACTGAAGCTTGAAAATAGTGATTACATAATAGATGCGTGGTCGCCCCGGGCGCGAGGTACCGTTGTCCGGACAGGTTCCAGGTTCCACGCACTACCTCCCCCCGCCCCGCACGACTCAGACCCCGCTCGCCTTGCACCACGCGTGCCCGATGTTTACCGAGCATTTACTTTCTACCCATCAAGGACCTTCCTGTCTCTCCCACGTAACTCCGAGTGCAAGTGATAATGTAAGCGAGTGGACACGCATTTTTGTTTTTCTTTTCCCTTATAGCTACAACCTGTTATAGAGTCTTGGTTTAATATGTTTTAAAACGAATAAAATGTTTGTATAGGTAGATAGGTATGAATTACTCCTAATTTAACTAACTGAGATGTTGTCTAACATGTAGAGGTAATTGCATTTAAGTAATAAGATCTATGGTGAAAGAAAATTCTTACGAGGAAGTATTATTTTAAGACATTTAAGCAAAATATGTATGTATGTATGCTTGCGTCATAAAGATTCGAGAACGAATCTTAACTGTATAAATTTGTAAGACAGAAGTCAAGACTAATTCAACTTTATTGTCAGCGGTGTAAACACAAGAATCGCATAAGCGAAAGCTGTGGCCGCGAGCTCGCCGCGGTTCAATGACCGACTTTTCACGGGTTTGTCAGCCCGCTGTTATATCATCGGCGTAGTCAGTGTCATTGCCGAAACACCGGCATGCTTACAAGCTAATTTGCATCTTTTACTGATTCGCATTGAGTTCACTTTTGTTTGTTATTCTTTCGATCTTTTTTGTGGACGCTCGTATATATGCAAGTTCACGTCTTTATGTACAGCAGCTATAGCTTGAGTGTTTTACATGTAAATACTTTTTTAACATAAACGAAAATAAACCTGTTTTGAGAGTTTTAAGTATAGCAGGTGACTTCAGAAGACTGAAAGAGGCTATTGACAGATCATTTGTGACATTATTTTATTACAAAAACATATTAAACAATGTGTCAATAAGATTGAGATAATGTTATTCCAACGTATGAAAATTCATATAATGGCGTAGTGCAAATTCGTAATCATTATAGGAATAAAATTATTCGTTATTAAGTGCGCAAGCGCATTTGCTTATTAATGCAATTCAGGCTGTGATTACGAGCGTGGGGTTACGTAAGCTCGTTGTGGGTAGATCACGTGTGCGAAATATTCGCCTTGAAATTGAACTCCCAAAAGTTCAAGATTTGCTTTTTGCAGAGCGCGCGGCTCACAACAACAATAGTAAGCCATGTGTGCGTATGTGATGTGCATGTGTGCGTCACGCTAGGACGTCATTTTTTATGTAATTACAGTCCCGAAAAAACGTCCAAACACTATACCATCTGAGTGAGCTAGATATGATTTGGTAAAGTAAAAACCTTTGACAGGTTCTTGACAGTTGCGATAAAATGCTTCATATTATAATTTTAAGTAAAAGAAGTTAATTTTTATTGGTGTATTTTATCCAGAGACACATGTGCTTGAAGAGAATATTTTTGTAACTTAACAGTATCTGTGAATCGTTTCCTTATTTGTGCTAAAAAGGCATAATATGTAAATGTCATTGAACTCTATTTACATTACTTTATATACAGCTAATAGTAGAGCTTTTATAATCAAAGTTATACATAAAATAATAGGTTTCCCAATTTTTACCTTACTACTACTTACCTTACTACTACTACCTTACTACTAAACATCTCAATATCAACATCATTTTAATTATTTTAGTTTTTAAAGTATTAAACCATTAACTTTTAAAAATTACAATCTTCGTACTTTTAAACAATTTTACTAAATACCTTGTTAGTCTAAAATAAAATTAATAGTCAAATTATTTCTATGGCACAATCTATTACAAAACATTTTTATTAATATTAGAATACATTATAAAAAGCAACTAACGTCATATGTATTAGTAAACAATGTTTAGTGTTTACATTTTTATTCAGAAACAACGTCTTGACAGTCACGCGTTGATGTCTTTTTATTGGAAGAACATTATAAGTACATTTTAGAAGGTAGATCAAGAAATTAATTTAATACATTCATTTTGAACTCGTTAAAATTCTTACCGAAAACAGCATAATAATCCAGGTGATTTGCACGTCGAAATAAATCCAGATTCAGATGAGAAAAATCCACAGAAATTGTTTTTTAATTAAATCACTTAAACTTAACCACCTCACAGAACCGTCACTTAAACAATATTTAAAATTAAAAAAAAATATTAAAAATAATAAGTCTTTTTTGAGATCTATGTTGCTTTCAGTGAGACACTGTCGAGCTAGAGGTTCATGTTGGCGGAGCGCGCATCGAGACGGCGTAGCGTGCCGTTGGCTCCGGATAACTGATAAAATGTAGCTCGGTTCACGGTCGGCGACGTCCTTCCTGCGCCTGCGCTCGCCCGCGGCCCGCGCCCGCGCAACCTCTTCCGCACTGCGGGTGAACGAACTGCTGCGCAAGAGCGGGACGCCTAGCGCCGGCTCCAACGCCAATGCCACGGCCGCATCGCCTCGCTTCGCTTATGCAAGCTATACACCTTAGGTAGTGCATTAACACATCACACTGGTTCAATCTGTAAACACGAGCAATTTAATCGAATCAGTTTCCAGGCATAACCGAGTGTTATAATACACATTACTGTATAGTTTTTCATCTACACTAAAGGTTTTGCCTGTAGGATATGTACGGAAGAGTCAAAGACGTTATAAAAAACCTGACGTGTGTGGCTAGTATAATCTGTGCCTAGCTTGTCGCTTCACAAACACTTTTTACTATTTCTATCTAGCTAGGCAAGGTGATCTAGTACGGACGATGGATTATGATAAATAATCGATTAAAGCGGTTGAGATTTTTTTGTTATTCATCTTTATTAATTGCAATTCTATTTGATGTAAGAAGGTAGTAATTAAAAACACCTTTTTTATACGTTATGAGTTATAGTCGATTTGTAAATTAACTCGTCGATTTGTAAAATACACATATATTTATGAATGTCACGTTTATATTGTTGTCAAATAATGGAACTACTCGTAGTACCAGCGGTAAATTTTAAATATAATTAATTAAAGCTACATTTCAGTTAACTATACATCAAATATTTAATAAAGACAAATTAACTACATTTTGGTCTTTGGAAAATGTTTTGTAGTTAATTAATAATTGTATTTTTACATAAATTTATTATGTTAATTATTTTGTAAATCAAAAGTCTGCACAAATGATGTTTTCTCAGAATTGTATTAAATATTATTATACTTCGAAATATATACGAAATTGGTGGCAATGGTTATGGTTGTGTACTTTGTTTTGACTACTATAGTCTCCACAGGCGATGGGGTGGTCCGCCTACGATTTGAGAGACTATGGATTTAGTACTGGTTAACACATCGGTTATCATATCGAAAGATTTAACATGAAACATGTAACTGTCATTAGTTTATCTTGGTTTAAATTGTAAATACAGAGTAATTACAGAGCAAAATTTAGGTGGATTGAATAAGGAATGGTGTATTACAATTTCAAAATAAATTTGCACTCTGTCCTTGTAAAGTTTTGACCGTTTACTTTTTAATTTGAACACATCTTAATACCATATTCTCATTTTTTTTAATATAAACATTCTTGTATAATTGTCGATTAAAAACGGTATACAAATTATGATCCGTTCTTCACCCTGTTAAGGTTATAGCATTATAAGAGCTTGTATTTCTTTTTGAACCCGTCAATCAATTCAAAGCCAGATGGCGCGGCTCGTGGACTCAAGATTATCTCTTTCATAATATGCTCCTTGTACCAAGCCGATAAAAGTTTACCGTACGATCATCAAGATAGTAATTTTTCAAAATTTTACAGTTAACAAACCTTAACAGAGGTGATAGGACCAAAAAGGTACGCAAAAAACTACATTATACACGTAAATCGCTGCCTTTAATCGGAAACCTTGATCACAGATTTGTTTACCTGCCGAGCCCCCATGTTTTTTTGCTTACAAAGGGTGGCCATTATGCTTTGTTGTAAAAAAGCCTTCATATAACGGTACCTCGGCCATACAAACACACGTTGCATTGACAAAAACACAATGACACAGTAACTATTGCATTTCCTGTAAAGAAATGTGCGTGTTTTGGAGACACGATAACGGCAATATATTGTTGCATTTTACCCTTACAAAGAAGTTTATGCAATAATTGTTAAGTACTCTTATAGAATGAACGAGTTATGACTATAAATACTTTAAGTGTTTACTCTTTTATGTACAAATCCGATGTCGATGTCGAAAAGATTAGACTGTTTTTTTTACATAAGGCACTAACTATAACTATATTTACTACGTAAAAAACCCGAGTATTAAGATGAAGTAGGTATACTTACGTCAGCGCATACTTCTCGCCTTATCTAATCTAATGTATGCGCAATAAGATCGGATGCAGTGTCAAGGACACCGACTTACATAACATAAATTATTGAGCTACGTTTGAAAACATGTCACCGGGAGATACTTCTGCAAAAATAGTTAACAAATTGTGTTCTTACTTTTTTAAAAAAAGTGCAAAATTAAAGACAACAGCATAACCAAGAATATCCTTGTTCTATTACGCAATAAAATGAGCATCATAATTTTTTATGGAATAAAGCGAGGGTTGTTCTATGTGTGATCAAACTATAGTTGTATATACATGGCTATATTTACGCAGTAAAAATTGGGGCTTATTTGTAAGCACTAATCAACCATAAGGGAAAAAAAACATGGGTCAAGATTTGGAAAGAATTTCGAATCACTAAAATTATTCTTCCACAACATATGTCATCATCATTATTTTAATACGTATTTTTTAACATAATGCCTTACTTTTAACATCAAATCCTATATTGATTAATGATCTTAAGCGATTAGAACATTTGCCTACAGACTTCTTAGGATAAGCTCAGAAACTAAATCCTTAAACAAAAACAATCAGATTAACTAGCGGGCTGTTTATGATTATTAAGACAAATTCCTTATTCACGAAAATCCTAAGATTTATGTAATCACAGGTAACAAATTGTATTAAAAATTATGAATAATCTGTATTATATTTTGTCACAAAATTAATCTTCACAGGGTATTTTAAGTTTCCCAAACGGTATTGAGTAAACCCGCAGGATACCGTAATTTATTGGGCCGTTTACTTTCAAAGGAAGGGTTATAAAAGAAATTTACTATGCAGTAGCTAAAGCTGTAAAAGAAAGTAGCCTGTTCATTGTTTGCTTTTGAAACTTTAAGGTAGCTTTTGCATATATTATAATTGATTTGTTGTACCGATATGTTAATTATTTGTACTGTATATCTCACTAAGTTTTTTTTTTTTAAAAAAGTTTTTATATCGATGTATAACTTTAGAAATCCATCTTATGGTTATCGTTGATTAAGTAACCGGAATATTTCAGGAATGGATTGATTTGTACAGGTTTCTATGGTGTTTTGATTGCCCATTAGTATGTAATATTAGAACAACATTTTGGCCGCTTATTGTAACTACACCGCTACAAATATGAAACCCACTTTATTCTGTCTATTAAAAGTATTCTAATATATTTTTTTTCTTTATATTTTTGGATTGAATACTGTATATCACATTATTACACCGTTTACAACTAGTTGTACCAAAGGTAAGGCAATTTGAGTTGCTTTAAACAACTCGTTACGAAAGATTTTTTCGATGATACTTGACAGGTGTTCAGTAATTAGTCACGCTCACGCATTTCCAGTGGTCGAGCCAGCGATGTTTTATTGTTTTGATTTGATTCCAATTTGTAGACATTCTACTCAAAATAATTTATTAGTTACCCTAACCAAACATAAACGAGGATTCACTGCCTCTTCAAACCAAATAATTTGCATAATTTTCTTAAAAAATACAAATTTTATTAATTCCTGTACTTTTCAATATAATTGTACATAAAAACCTGGATACAAACCGGTCTAGCCTTAAGGACTGTTCGACTTCCTCAATCTCTAAAAAGATAAAGATGGTGTCCATAAATAATTTGTATAAGTAAAAGGAAATAAAAAGTCGAACGTCCAAACTAGCCAGTTGTCTCCCCACCACAGCACACCAAGCAGGCAGGACGCGATCGGCGATGTGGGAGCAACGTCCTCGACCTTGAGACTAGATGAACTTACGTAACCGACGCCCGAGGGCAAGGAGCCCCTCCACCGAAATTACTCCTAAACTTTTTGCACTTCCCAAATGATTATATCAGCGGGCAAGCAAAAAACCATATACTTGTTATGTTTAAGGAATAGCAACTTTGGTATGTTCAAGGTTATTACGTTCTTTGTTCGTTTACTCCATGTTTTAATAGATTTAAATAGATTCTTCGATTGAAAGATTGTTTGCTTTTCCTTATATCGTTTATTCGAAAAATATAATAAAACTTGTGTTAACATTTATAAACGTACGTCGGTAACTAGATAATAATCAATATGGTTAGTATCTTTCATAAAACCGGCGAAGCAAAAAGGAGTAGCAACATTTTTTTTTAAATTAAAATAATTGTCCAGTACATTTGTTTCACTAATCTAATTGTTTTAAATGAATATTTATATACTCAAGTTTTATACTAAGCTACTTTACTATGATTCATAACTTAATTTCACGCTGGAAAGATGAATAACTTTACTTTATTCTTATAAATTAGGATAGTATTTTTATATCGTACTTCAACTTAATAGTTACTTAATGTAAGTATTATTACCTGTATTGATTTAAGCTCGGTAGCATCAAGTTATCGTTGTGGTGATGTCATAACCAAAAGCAAGACTGCACAAAAAAGCTATTGTGTAAAGAATCGTGAGACTAGTTCGCTGAGTGGACGAGCGTTGAACTCTTTTGGGCGTGTATTGTCGACTGTAGAGACGGGCCACAGCTTGTTGTTGCCCAATTATATTGTGCCTTAACCACGTACACATTTATACACGTAAAGATTCTTTGCAATTTTACACATAATGTTAAAAAAATAGAATTAATTTGTTGTACACGATTTTCTCTTTCGAAATACTTGTACAAAACACGTCATCACCACTATATCACCTTCAAAAAGCTAAGGAAATAACATGGTAATGTAAACTCATGGATCGACTTCAAAATGTAAAAGAGCTTGTTCATACCACGTGAAATATATCTGTTATTATGTGATGTTTTGCTTATCTCTAACGTTGATAATTTACCCTCGACCCGCATAAAAAGGGGTTTTTGACTTTTACGATATCATGTGCAAATATCGAATTGGGCAAAGGGCATATTTAAAAATTTATTTAATAATTGGAATAACACATGTTTATAATACACATACCATTGTAAGAGGTAAGCTACTTAAGGGTTGTCGCTTGATAGGATCCT